GTTGGTCACTTATCTACCAACCAAGGTCAAAAATGCTAATCGTCATTGTATCAGTAGCAAACATGCGTAGAGCACCTACTCCGTGCCTGAAGCTGTTCCTGTGCTTTGTGGTGGTAACACGGCACATCCTTACAGCTGCTCTGTGACGTGGGGAGTCGAATTACCACCACCCCCAGTTTAGAGGTGAGGAAACTGAGGCACAGGAATTTAGGTGACTTGCTCAAGGCGTCACATGGGTGGTAGAGACTGAGCTGGGATGGGTTGTGGAGTCCGTGCTTCACCAGCTCTTCGGGTGCTTTGTGAATGCAGAGGTGGGTGTACGATGGAGGGGTTACTTTTCTGGGACTGCTGTGAGTTACAGGGACCTTTGGGCCTCCGCCCACCCTCCCTCCCGTTTGGCTTCTGCTGGGATGCCCATGCGGTTGACTGACAGCACCAATTTACAGCTCACGTCCACTCTCTGAGGCAGGCAAGCTCCTGTTGAGCCCATTTCACAGATGGGGAGACTGAGCTCCGAGTAGTGAAGCAGCCTGTGTGAAATCTCCCAGCTAAAGAGTGTCAGGGCACAATTCAAGCTCAGTCCGTGGAACTCCAGAGCCAGGGCACTTAGTCCCCATGTCCCACAGCCTGCTCACCACTGTCCCACAGTCCCCTCTCCTCCCCTCTCCTGGGGTGGTGTAGACACTGGTGCCGCCTCATCAGAGAGGCATGCTTGGCTCAGCCGTGTACCGACAGAGCAGATGCACACCCAGACACCTACCCTGCCAGGCTGTCTTTCTGTTCTTGCATAATCCCCTACCTGCCTCTGTCTGTCAGTTCTCCTGGGTCTCTGATTTTTTTGGCTGCAAATCCCCATGTGTTATCATTAACCGATGTTTGCCTCAGAACAGCTTGTGTTGGTTTGCACCATGATGAGAGCCTGCCCTGCGTCCGTCCGCCATGCGTCTGCCCACGTGGCCTCTGTGCCAGCTGGCCACTCGGGCCAAGGGGGTGATAGGTGGTGCCTCCCTCGCTCCCTGTCCTTTCCCTCTTGGTTGTAGGAATGTGGCTGTCCTGGCATCTGTGTCGTGTCATGGCTGCCTAATACCCACAGCACATCTGCTCACAGCATCCCAGACCCTCCCCAGCCAGGCCCCTCTACACCACCAGCCTCCCTTTATTCTCTCTACAGAAAACCACTCCACTAGCAATAGGAAGACAAGGGCCGTCCTTGACCAAGTAGGCGGGTGGCTTGTGACACAGGAGGAAAGCTCTGAATGCCCCCGCTGTGCCCCCATCCCCTCCCATGGCGTGTTGGCCCCCAGGATGAGCGCGGGCTGGGAGGGGTGGCCGTGGGCAGGGCGGGCAGCAGGCGGCACCATCTGCGGCCATCCTTTGTGCTGGCAGCCGAGCGATCCCTCCGTCGCTGTGATCCGCCGGGCCTCGTGCTTGGCATGCAAATGAGGTTCCAGATGCCCGGTGCCCCCCCCCCCCCCCCCCCCCCACAAGGGGTGCAACATGGAGGGTGCCAACAGCCTGACCGTGGCTGGTCCTTGGGTCTGCCTGCCAGCATAGCCCGTGCCGCACAGCCTTACCTGTCTGCCAAAGCCTGAGAGCCAGGAAAGTGGGTGAGTGGCTGGGGGGGGGGGGGGGCA